TGCCAATGTTTATACCAAATGCATGTCAGGTACCAGTGGACGCCCAAAGAGGATTTCTGGTCCTCCATGACTGTAGTTATAGACAGTTGTGAGCTGTCTTGTGGGTACTGGGAATCAAAGTTAAGCCTGTGAATGTGCAGCCAGTGCTCTTAGCTGCTGAGCCATCTATTTGGCCCCATCAATATGTCATTATAGCAATAAGGTGTGAATGTATGATCCTGAGTTCATCTTTATGTCAGTCCTGATGATCCAGAAGAAATACAAGATTTATGGCATCAGAAACTCTTAGACATGGTGCTTAAAGAAGTTTCTGAGCCCAAATCTCCACAAAATGAGGGAAGAGTACAAAAATGACCAGGAGAGAAACTAACACAAGTCTTTAAAAAGTGGATGAATGCTTAATCAAACCCACAAGACTTGAGTTTATCTCCCATGTGATAAATAGGCAGCAATGGGAGCCCCAAAAGTACACATGTCAGGAGTATCCCTACTGGAGATTATGCCTCCAGCATAGAAAAGGAACATGCAGGCATGAAGATTGACTTGGCTGATGCCTGTAAAGCCTTCATATAAGATCCCTGAGTAATGGTGACTTCAGATGACATCAAGGTTATCAGGAGGTCCTGAGACTTAAACAGAAGTCATTCTAAGGCTGGAGCAATCAGGCAGCTTTAGGTGTGAAAGGCTGAGGATCAAATGGCCAGCAGGCAATGCCCAGGGTGTACCCGAGGACAAGCTGATTCCTGCTAGGCTGTTTCCACTCAGCTATGGAGCGTCAGCCCCAATCACATCTTCAACTCTTTCCTTTTTTTGGCAACTACCTGTCAGTGACAATACCCTGAAGGCCCCCACTTGCAGTACCCACTTGGACCTTAAAGCTCCTCAGTCTTCACCCTGTCATCCCTGTCACCTGCCTTCCTGCCAGGAAGAAGGATATTCTAAAGAGATATTTATATCTCTCCCTTTGGCTAACAATTAATGAAACAGTACACCCCATGAAATTCTAATTTACCTAGAAGTCTCATTGTGGAAAATGACTGAGTACCCCAGATGAGAATGTCTCTACTGAAGAAATATTTATTCTTTATCTGACCACCATGCAGGATAAACGAGTTGAGAATGGGGAAGGGTTTTGGGGATGGGAAATTTTCATTATATGGCTTCATTAGATTACTTAGTTTTGCATATCTTTTGTATTCTATCTAAACCTGTTAGCACCCCAAGGATGGATAGGCTAACTTTTATTTTTATCACTGTTCCAAATTGGTCACACTGATTAAATATCATGTCTTCAGTTTTCATTAATAATATACTTTTTTCTTTTCTTTTTCTTTTTTTAAAGAATAGTCCTACTACACTGTCCTAGGATATCAGAGAGATCTGCCCGCCTTGCCTCCAGTGTGCCTATATTATGTAGGTAGGCAGGTCACAACTGGATAACTTGGTTCTTTTTGGCTTACTGAGGATGAGTGACTGAGCCTAGTTGTTAGGGTAGCCAATACACAGGCTCTGGTCCTAATTCCAGTAACAGAAGAAGGTTACCAACACATGCAGCCCTCCTTCCTTAAATTCCCCTGTCTTCCAACTATGAGTAGTATTGTTTTTCTTTATCACTAAGTCTTTTATAATTCATCAAAGGACCTGCACAGAGTTCTGCCCTTATTTCACAGATGGTGAAACCCAGGCATACAGATAAGTAGTTTTTGAATATAGTTAAGTGTAATTGCTCATCTTACTCATTGTCATTCTAATCCCTCACCAAATGAAGTTGAAGCCACCTAAGCCAGTTATGGGGTATAGACCTGTAATCATGGTACTTAGAAAGTGGAGGCAGGAATTTCTGGATTTCAAAGTCATCCAAGGTGAGAATGATCAATGGGGTATGGTGAGAGGCCGATGGAACCACGGGAGACTGTGGTTGGCTCAGGACAATGTCTCTATTCCCTGCAGCTCCAGAACTTCAGAGCCATGACACTAGCAACTGTCAGCTGAGGTATTTACTCCCCAATTTTTCTACTCTTAATGTTTCCTATTTAAGGTAGCCTAGGTCACTTTGGGGTCAGACTTGCTGCTCATTGAAATGTGGAATTCTCCAGCAGGTGGGAGAATTAGCCTCAGGCAGGGATGAGCTCTCTAATGGCATATGCAGGGCAGCATGTTCTGTCCTGAAACCATATACACACAGTGAACAGAAGTGGACCCAGCAGATTTTATTCATGTATTTGTGCATATTTAATCACACATGCTTAACAAGGAAGAAATTGAAAGGGAAGGAATTGGGAAAAGATAGAGGACAAGAAAGGGGGAAAGTGATATATACATTTTAATTAAAATTATAAAAATAAATTTTAAAGAAAAAAGCAGCCACTGTGATAGATTAGCAGTTAAGAGCACTGAGAGCCCAGGTTCCATTCCCAGAATCCCCCTAGTAGCTAACCACCTGTAACTACAGTCCCTCTTCTGGCCTCTGCAGGTACTGCTCACAGACACTTGCAGGCAAACACCCATATACAAAAACAAAAATAAAGTTTAGAAAAATAGAATTTTCTGAAGTGATGTCACAGCCCTGAAACAGACTGCAGGCAAGGCTAGTTAAAATGAACTCCTTCTGGGACTGCATTGAAGCAACCGTGGGCTTCCTCTGAGCCAGCATGCCTAGAGGCAAAAATCATTCTTTCTGAGGTCAGAATAGCTTGGCAGTACTGTTCATCTAAGAACATCATCCACAGTGCTGATAGGTGACTTTTCCCTGATATTTTCTGTATTTCTGTTCTCTGCTGTTCGTGTGTGTGAGGATTAAAGGCAATGATACATCTTTTAAATGTAGATCATAATGTATGATCTAAAAGATAGATTTTCTGTGTAAATCTTCATCTGCCTAAGTGGCTAGACTTGCAGTCTCCTGTTCCTATTTAAATTGTTCAATTATAACCTGAGGCCTGATCCTAAAAAAGACTTAAGGATGATATCATATATAGAATGCAAAATCTGTTCTAGGGTGGCTCCACTTTTAGCATTAGCTGGAGCTGGATGCAAGCTGTTATTAAAGAGATTTTTTGTTCATTAATCTTTTAACTTTGTGGGGTTATTTCTCCCTGGGAAGGCATATTAATTCTAGAAGAGCTGTAACTCTAGCCTTTTAATGTTTCTGAGACAAAAATCTCTTATGTTGGTTGGTCCAGATGTCCTTAATCCCAGCCTGTTGCTCCCCAGGGAATGACCTTACTTTGCTCTTGATTAAGCCACAATAATTCTTAAATTAAAGAGCTGTATGACCACTGAGTTTTAAAATTTCGCATTTGCGTCATGTAGTCAACTGTAGGATTTGTGTGTGGAGCATGGCTTCTGTCTTCAAGTCAGAACAGGAGGAATAGTTTGTTGTGTACACTGGAGGGGGAAACAGGATAGGCAATCAGCTGTAGAATCACCTTGTGAAAAAAGACCTGATTGTGGTAGGTGTTGTGCCCAGATCGTAACCCCCAGAGAGACCACCAAGGACAAGCATACCTGAATGCAAAAGCAAGGTTTATCTGTTACAAGTCATGACAGGGAACTCAACTCAAGCCATCTCAAGTGAGGCAGAGAAGAGTTCCTCTTTCTTGGGGAAGTTAGTTTTTATAGGCAAAACCCATAAAATTTCTTAGAGGGGAGGGGGTTAGTACGGGTCCATCCTTGATTGGTCCAGTTTTTCCCGGGCCTGGACTTTATCTTATTCTAGCTTATCTGTTTGCCCTGTCAGGAGTTTTACAACTCCTCTCCAGGGTCTGGTCATGTTATCTCCGGAGAGGGGCATCTCGTGGTTAATTGGTTACCATCAGACATCCTGATTCTGTTCTTTGTTCCTGGGGCTGGCGCCATCATTTCTGGGGACTTGAAACTGGCCTGGGTCTATCTATATTGAGATATCTTTGTCTAAGGCTCCCTTTTTGAGACAATAGAGTGAGGGTCTTGTGCCTGGATCATGTCCCCAAAGCCGCCACTGGAGACTTTAGGTACAGAATGCAAAAGTAAGGCGTTTTCTAAGTTTACAAGCCTCCAGGGAGGCTCTTCCAAATCTCTCACTCACAGCAGGGAGGTTGGAAGGAGTGCTCTCCTTTCTTTGTGAGGCTAGTTCTTAAAGGCACAGACCATATAATTTATTTTAATCCGCCTCCCTTTTTAGTCTTTTGGTCGAATATCCTGACTGTTTTCCAAAGTCCCTGTAGCAGATACAGCCACCTGGGGAAAGGGGGTCTAAGTTCTTATCTACACTTAGGAATCCTGGTTTAAGCTTCTCTTTGTCTGTAAGGCATAGAGTGGGGGGTTTTACTGAGGTATCACAGTAGGGTTAGTGATTTTTGTAATTTCACAGCATATACTAATTCATGTTATGTGAATAAAGGCAGGCCAGATTGATGGGTGTATAATTTGAGGTTATCTGTAGCCAGTGAACATCTGATTTTCTACTAGGAGGCTCTCCTTTGCAGATATGTTCAATCTGGGTCAGCACAGTGAAGTCAGCTCAGAGGGTTGAGACACAGGCCATTGGCTGTAGCCGTGTGTGTCAGGTTACAGATCTCAGCAGCTAACATTACACAAAAGGGCAAGGTCAAACAGTATTTTATTAATATCATTCCATCTCCCAAGGAATGGACTCCTCCTTTCCAAAGTCAAGATAGCTATATGTTTTTTCAGTTATAATTTCATTTTAAAAAGTCAGTTATTGGTTTCACTATTTAATTTGATTTTCCCTAACGCCTTTTCTAATCTTTTATTTGTTTTATTCTCCAATGTTTCCTTGTCATTAAGAATTCCTTTCGATTTTTCTCAGGTGATGTTGATTATTTATTTCTCTTTAGAGAAATTTCTCCTGTCGTTCAGGCTTGCCTTATACTATATAACTGAGAATTGCTTTGATCATTTTAATCCTGCCTCTGCTGCCCAGGGCTGGGAAGACAGTCCTGCAACTCCTTCCAGTCTGGGCCTTAACTAGTCAGTGAGAAAAAAAAGTAGTGAATAAGTGTCCTTCAATCCCTCTGGCTTTTATTGGGAATGTACAAATGAAGAAGACCTGTGCAATAATTGAGTTCATTGGCCAACTTGAAAGCCGGTGTAGCCACAGCACAGAAGCGGAGAGGCACGAAGGAGGGTGAAAGCTTTCCTGTTGGAAGTAGTTGACATTAGCTATGAGTGCTGAAGTAATCCATCTTAGATGATTGGTAAGTGTCCAGACTGGCCACAGACCAGGTAACCAAGGATCTGGATAAAGAATAAAACTTATTGTGAAAACAAATTATTGTAGTTAACTCCAGTTCAACAAAACCAGAAGAGCTGGGTAAAATGGTGTGCCCCTGCCTAACAGGACTGTTATGTTCCAGCTTTAAGATGTTCAGCCTGAGGGAAATATCCTGAGTGGTACTTGATGTGCTGTAATACAAATCTCTAGTCTCTGGAGCACATGGCCATGAAGCCTGTTTTAACTTTTAAACATATTTTTTTTTATTATAATTACATCATTTCCACCATCTCTTTCCTGCCTCAAAGCCCAAATGTGTAAGTCATTCCAGACTAGGCCTTGACTGGTCACTGAAAAGGAAAAAGAAATGGAGTAAGTGTCCTAATGCAGCCCAGGCTTTTATTGAAGAATGGTGCTTGTTTAAGAATGGGAATTTATTGTTCACACTTGTAAGTGGAAGATTCTCTCCTGCCTGCCTGTTCCCAAACACCCAGCAGCCACTTCCCAAATAATTGACGCAGAGGCTTAATATTACTTATAAATGCTCAACTGGTAACTCAGGCTTATTGCTAACTAGCTCTTGCACTTAAATTAACGCACAATTCTCTCTCTCTCTCTCTCTCTCTCTCTCTCTCTCTCTCTCTCTCTCTCTCTCTCTTTTTGGTTTATTGAGACAGGATTTCTCTGTGTAGCTTTGGAGCCTGTTCTGGAACTCATTCTGTAGCCCAGGCTGGTCTTGAACTCACAGAGATCCCGCCTGGCTCTGCCTTCCAAGTGCTGATATTAAAGGCATGCACCACTACCAACCAGCTCCCATTATTCTTATCTATGCTTAGCCACATGACTTGGTACCTTCACTCAATGCAGCATTCCCATCTTGCTTCCTCTGCAACTAGATGGCAACTCCTCACTCCACCCTTCCTGTTCCCAGAATTCACCTATACTTCCTGCCTGGCTACTGGCCAATCAGCATTTTATTAAACTGATTTGAGGGACAGATCTTTACAGTGTACAAGAGTGTTATCCCAGAGCATTTCTCTTTTTTTGTCTAATTAAATAGGAAGATTTTTAACCTTAATATAGTAAAGCAAAAACAGTTACTAAGAAGAAAAGTAACACAGCCTATCCTTTTGCATTTGACAAAATTAGAGAAAACACTTAATTATCTATCTTGGCAAGTCTAAAATTTTGTATCTTATTTGTCTATTATTATAACTAAAAAAAAAAACTAACTATAGCTGTCTAGTCTTCAACTCCATTAAAGACTTCAGAAGGATGTCATGTTACCTAATGACAGGGACATCAGGCTGCCTGGATGGTTACCCAAAGTTCCTTTGCAGTGGTGGGGCATCTATCTTCAGCAAACAAGCTTAGCATATCTGACAGACTTATCTATGAAACAGGATTTTTGAAGGACTGTCCCACCTTGTCTTGTTATAGTTTGCTAGTCTTTACTTTTGTGTCCTGCTTGTCCAATTTGTTCAGCATACTGTCAGCAGTCAAGACAAGGCACTTTCTTTGCCCACATGGCTAGCTTTTGCCATTAAAAAAACAAGCCCATATGGAATTTCTTCAATGCTCATCATCCTCTTTGAAGTAATTGTTGTGCCAGGAACAGACATGTCTCACTGTGGAGAAAAGTCAAGTTCTTAAAAAAACATTTTAAGTGCCATATTCTATAGGTCTTTGAAGTGTTTGAAGATTGCCTATCTATCTGAAATATATCTCTGTATGACCTTGAAAACATATCTAACATGTCTTTAAGTTTGCTATTATAGATGACTATTAATCTGTATTTCTTAATTACATATTACATTCTTTTTTTTTTTTTTTTTGGTTTTTCGAGACAAGGTTTCTCTGTGTAGCTTTGCGCCTTGGTAGCCCAGGCTGGCCTCGAACTGACAGAGATCCGCCTGCCTCTGCCTCCCGAGTGCTGGGATTAAAGGCGTGCGCCACCACTGCCCGGCTACTTATTACATTCTTAAATAAGCTGCATAAGCAAGAGTTGAAGGATACATACAGTATAACAAAACTGACTTTAAATTTGTATCAGTAAACTAAAATTCATACTAATGTAAAAATATTTAAGATTAACAGTTGTCTTTTGGATTAAAGTAGATTTAATAACCTACCCTTTTCCCCCATCATTCCTATATCATACCCCCCTTTCTTCTTTTATAAAGAGATTAACTATGACCAATAACAATTTGTAACCAAACCCCTAAACAAAGACAAACACCCATAATCCATTTTTTGAGAATGTGGTGTAGCTTTTTAGGCTACTTCCTGCTGACTGGAGGTGCTGTTAATCTTATGGGGACCCTGAGAAAATTTAGGATTATGGTCAAGTCTTGACTGGAGTAGTCTGTGGATCACCTCAGCCAGCAGCTTTGAAACCTTTCTGGATGCAGAACTCAGAGGAATCTGCATCAGAGGTGCTCTGAAACATTGGATCATCTGGGCCATCCATTCCCATTGGAGATTTTTCAGGGGGTCTTCCTTGATCAAGTCTGATTTTTCTTAACACAGAATGAATCCATGGCCTCTCATTTCCTGTGGAAATAAAAGCATAACCTCTTCTCCAAAATAACATCTTTTGACTTAATTTTTTAAGTCAAGGAAAGCATTTTCAAAATATATAGCTTAACCAGCAACATTTATAATCAAATATTTCTTAGCAGATGTTGCTCATTCCTCAGCTGTCAAACATTTCAATGACAGCACAATAGCATACAGTATCCAGACTCTCTGTATTTCCATCTTTACATGGCTTCTTATATTATTTACTCTTTTTAAGAATTTTACTTTATTATTTTAAAACTGTATGTTCCTTTTTTATGACTGTCTATACCTTCTCTTTACTCTCCCAAGCCTATGTGAGAGTCTTTTTAAACACACTATAATCCACTTAGAGGGTTTTTGTTTTTGTTTTAATCTGTCTTTATTGCATATCTCAATCTTTTTCTGACCACATGAGCATTTAAGCTGCTAATTGGACATGGCTAGTACTAAAGCTGCAACTTTGGTGGCTGACTCTGCCCTAATCCTTGGTTCCTTGAGATACTAGTCTCATGTCAGAGGCATGTTTACCACCAGCTCTGAAAGCCATGTTTACTGCTCCAACTCTGAGAAGTTTGGGTCTGTGCTGCCACTGAGTAGTGTGCCACCTGCTGCTCATAAACTCCATTTAAGTGTTTGGCAACAGGGCTTCTTAAAAGAGCCACACCATTTTTATCACTAATACTGAGTCAGCAAACTATATCCTAAAGGAGCTGTACCTCTGCTCACTGCCAGCAAACAGAGCCTACCAGAGAAAAGATGGTTACCAAGAAGCTGCTTTTTACTCCAATTTTGTATGTTTAAAATCCTTTTTTTTTTTTTTTTAAGATTTCTCAGGTTTTATATGAAAATTCTTGCCAAAAGTTTGGGCACGACATGTTGGCAGAACTTTCTTTCCTGCCAACAGTAACTCAGGCTTATTACTAACTAGCACTTGTACTTAATTTAACCCATAATTCTTATATATGTTTGGCCACATGGCTTGGTACCTTTAGTACCTTAAGTGTGGCATTCCCATCTTGCTTCCTTCTGCACCTGGCTGGCAACTCCTGACTCTGCCCTTTCTCTTCCCAGAATTCTTCTAGTCTAGTTGCCCTGCCTATACTTTCTGCCTGGCTACTAGCCAATTGGCATTTTATTAAACCCATTTGAGTGACAAATTTTTACAGTGTACAAGAGCCTTATCCCACAGCACACACATGACAAGCCATTATGGTCACATAAAGGAGCTTGAAAGTTTTCCAGTTTTGTCTGCAGTTTGGATTACCAATGTGCAATCAGTTAATCAATTATAGGTGATCTATATATGTCCTGAGTGGCCATTTCTTAAGCTCCACAGTCCAGGTTTCTTGCCCTGGAGATTCTGTTCTCTTGAACAAGGACATTTTTCTCTTAACAGGCCTTCCTTATCACTTTTAACATTTCTCCTTACTAAGGCCCCCAGAATCACTTAGCATCAGAAATCAGAGCTCCCAAAACACTTTTGGCATCTTTGGCCTCTTTGGCCTCTGGCAAGGTAAAACTGCTAAGAGTCCCAGTGACACTTCTGGCTTTTATTAAAGAAACAACCAGTTAGTTTTTGGGGGGGTCTTTTTTTACCCTAAACTGCCTAGTATTGACTACAGTTCTTATCCCATGTCCTTCTTAAGAGGTAACTCTAACTGCCATTAAGGGGTTGGGATGATGACCAATCTGGGTTCTTCCAGCTGAATTTGGTATCAGGTGGCCCTTCCAGAGGGCCTCTCATTAAATGCAAACTCTCAGATGTATAGGCAGGAAAGGAATTCCTTCACTGGTGCCTGGAAAGAACTAAAATGTCCAAAGTCCCTAAGACATCCATGATGGGCTCCGGTATCCCTCATCTATCAGATGTTTCTCTTTGTCTTCTATGGTTGGTCTTCAAAGTAATGAACCCACAATCAGCTTTCACACCTTTTCATAACTGTTTCATCAGCCAAAAGTCAGATGGTGCCCCTCCCATGGGGCTTTTGGAAAGGAAAAAAAAGAGGTTTTTAGCCATCATTTAATTTGGGTGTTAAGACAATCATGGATCTGTCTTCCTTGGCTGTGAGCAGGTGCTCAGTAAGCCAAGTCTGACATCTCACATCTGGGCAACATCTTTTGTGATGAAGAAAGTAGTAATGAGATTGGTCGTTCTAAATAATCTCTCATGTAGACTCACACCTAATGTCTGTAGAGTGCGAGCCCTTGGGGTGTTAGCAATTCTCTTAGTCCTGTTAACCTTTTCTGCTGAGTGCTGAAGACCATGCACAAGGCCAAAATTAGTATTTCCTCCTGTACTGCCAAGGCCAGTTGAGCAACTAGTCCTCAGTGAGTCACTTGGGCTTAAGAGGAACCTCAGACTCTTTTAGCCTTTACTTTACAGATGTCCATCAATGTGAGGGTAAGTCAAAGGCTTTCCTTTATGTACTGTAGCTTCTTCTGAAGCCTTAAGGAAATCTTTCCCACATTAACCCTCCTTTTTGTAGACTGAACAATGTTTCAAATTCATGAGTGGGAACTCCATGGCCTCCATCAATAGCCTTAGTCTCCAGGGACCTCATTGACCTTGTAGGGAAGGAGGAGAAATATTCTTCCATTTAGTACCTCTAACCACATTAGTATAACCTCCAAGAATGATTATGAAACACCTACAAGATCACTTTTTACACCAGTTTTAACTGATGTATAACATTTCAATAGCCAGACATAACAAACTTTTGTTTGACATACAGTTTAGCGAGTATTTGAAATAGTTGATATGTGACCTTGCCGACATTAGTACAATTTTTTTCTTTTCTTTTCTTTTTTTTTTTTTTTTTTTTTTTTCCGAGACAGGGTTTCTCTGTGTAGCTTTGCACCTTTCCTGGAACTCAGTCTGTAGACCAGGCTGGCCTCGAACTCACAGAGATCCGCCTGCCTGCCTCTAACTCCCGAGTGCTGGGATTAAAGGCGTACACAACCAGTGCCCGGCACAATGTATGATCTCTAAATCTCATCCTTTATGTACCTTAAACAACTTACTGAGAACATCATAACTTGCAAAAGCTTTTCTGCCTTTTTTTATTCTGGAGCAATCCAATCATTATCATCTTCATATATCTAAGTCCTTCTTTACTAAGGCCATTTCCATATTTACATTCTTCTAACATGTTCTTTTATGTACTGTTTCTTTATTCTAATACCATGAGATATAGCGTCATAAACAAATATATTTATGATCTATTGTGAGAATTTTCTCCCCAGTGGAGGGGTACAAAGCAATGTCTATCCCATCCCCATAAGTCCCAATGACATTGCAAAGGAAAATTTCACCTAAGTCCACCCTGGGGAACCAATGAGTTTATGAAATTTACTTACTGGACATAACTGAGGAAGTACTTATAGGAGTTTGGATACTGGGGTGGTTTAAATCAAAATGGCCCTCCTAGTCCCATAGGGAGTGGCACTATTAGGAGGTGTATTCTTGTTGGAGGATTGGTGTCACTGTCACTTTCTTCTGCCTGCTGGTCTGGCTGTAGATTTCTCAGCACTTTCTCCAGCACCATGGCTGCCTGCATACCACTGAAGGGGAAAAATCAGTAGCCCTTTAAAGAGTCAGCTCCCATCCCAAGGTATCTGCTGACCTGTAGATGAATTTAGACCTGACCATAATTTAGAGTTAGCCTATAAATGAACCCAGAAACTGACCAGTAGGTGAACTTAGACTGGAATAATAAATTTGAATGTATATATCCTGGACCCAGTGAACAGGATATGGGGAGTGAGAAATTTATGTCTCTGTAGATACCCTGCATCCTGTCAGCCATGCAGGCTGTAATTCCATGCCTATAGTTCAGCCAGTAACTTCAGAGAACTACCTCATTCCTAGCTCCCTCATCCAATTCTAAGACACTAAGATATGTAACCCACTGCATGTAAACTTTTCCTGTATAGACCCCTTGTGATGAATATGTGGGGCTTCCTCTTTCACTCACTGTAACTGAGTATCAGACAAAGTCC